CTTTCATTTGGCAGTCGGCTCCAGATATTAGGACTAAGTTGCAGAGATTAGATAATTTATAAGATTATAGCCTGCAGGATCTCGTAAAGGAAGCAAAAAAGATCTTTAAAAAGAGAGAAACACCTGAGATTAAAAAAAAAAAAAAAGACTTAGAAAGTTGCAGGAGGAAAGAGAGGACAAGTTTAAGAAGGAGCTAAAGGAGGAGAGAGAGAGAAAGAGAGAGAGAGAGAGAGAGAGAGAGGGATCATAGGAACCGGAGAGAATTAAGCAAAATTCTGGCCACTGTAGCTCAGAATAATCATAGTGCAGGAAGTCAGGAAAGAAAGGAAAAAGGAAGGAGGCCCAGGGTAGATCGAGACCAGTGTGCCTACTGCAAAGAAAAAGGCCATTGGGTCAAAGATTGCCCTAAGAGACCTAAAAGTCAGAGGCATGGGGACGGACCCCAAAGACCAACTCAGCTTCTAGCCCTAGATGAAGACTAGGGCAGTCGGGGCCAGGAGCCCCCTCCCCCAGCCCAGGCTAACCTTAAAAGTCGGGGGGAGGGGCAGCTAGTCACCTTCCTGGTGGACACTGGAGCCCAACATTTAGTTCTCACCGAAACGCACGGGCCATTGAGTACCAAAACAGCTTGGGTACAAGGAGCCACCGGAGAAAAACAATACCGATGGACCACGGAGAGAAAAGTTCATCTCGCATCAGGTAAAGTCTCACATTCCTTTTTGCATGTACCGGACTGTCCATATCCATTACTGGGTCGAGATCTACTGACTAAATTAAAAGCCCAGATCCATTTTGAAGGATCAGGAGCTAAAGTCTCTGGCCCACAAGGGGCTCCACTTCAAATATTAACTTTACAATTGGAAAATAAATATAGACTTTTTAAAAAAGCCTCCTGAACAGCAGGAAGGAATGGACTTATAGTTAAAACAACACCCCCTGGCCTGGGCAGAAACAGGGGGCATGGGCTGGCCATACAACAGCCACCCCTAATAATAACCCTGAACCCAGCCACCTTGTTACCACTGCTGGAGGAACCAGCCTCCCATGACTGTCAGCAGATCCTTGCAGAGATGCATGGAATATGTCCTGATCTGACCGATCAGCCCTTGAAAGATACAGACTACACCTGGTTCACAGACAGCAGCAGCTACTTGCTAAATGGTGAGAGACGGGCAGGGGCTGCAGTGACGAATGCCTCAGAGGTCATATGGGTCACTGCACTCCCCCGGAGGCACCTCTGCTCAGCGAGCTGAACCCTTTGCTCTGACTCAGGCTCTCCAGATAGCAGCAGGTAAGAAGCTTAATATGTACACTGATAGCCGGTATGCCTTTGCCACTGCCCATGTCCATGGAGAAATTTATCGGAGAAGGGGCCTTTTAACATCAGAAGGCAAAGAAATCAAAAATAAAAATAAAATCTTGACATTATTAAAGGCCCTGTTCCTTCCTAAAAAATTGAGCATAATGCATTGCCCTGGACATCAAAAGGGGGAAAGCCTGGAGGCAAAAGGAAATCGCCTGGCTGATGAAGCAGCCAAACAAGCAGCCTTAAGCCCCCAACTATTGACTATTAGCATATTGACTGAAAAGAAAACAGCTAAGACTCCAGATTGGGACTATGATGAAACGGATTTGGACATTGTTCAGAAACTAGGTGCAGATTATGACCCCAATCGGCAATGCTGGGTCTACCAAGGAAAGACTATACTGCCTATAAAAATGGCAAAAATGTTAATAGACCACCTCCATAAGCTGACTCATTTGAGTGCCAAAAAGATGAAAACTTTGCTAGATAAAAAAGAAATTGGAACTTACCTTCCCAATCGGAATTTATTACTGGAACAAGTAACTGCTAACTGTCTGGCCTGTGCCCAGATCAACCAAGGAAAAACCAAACTGGATCCTGGAACCCGGCTTCGTGGCCATAGGCCTGGTGTCCATTGGGAAATAGACTTTACTGAAGTCAAACCTGATATGTATGGTTATAAATATTTACTGGTTTTTATAGACACCTTTTCAGGATGGGTAAAAGTGTTTCCTACCAAACATGAGACTGCAAAAATGGTCACCAAGAAACTATTGGAAGAAATCTTTCCCAGATATGGGATGCCACAGGTAATAGGATCAGACAATGGGCCTGCCTTCGTCTCCCAGGTAAGTCAGCTGGTGGCCAGGTTGCTGGGGATAAATTGGAAATTACATTGTGCTTACAGACCCTAGAGTTCAGGACAGGTAGAAAGGATGAATAGAACCATTAAGGAGGCTTTATCCAAATTAACGCTTGAAACTGGCTTTAAAAGCAGGTACCAGATCAAATATGATAATTTTCTTTCTCTCATCAGAAAGCTTGATCATTGCTCTATAACTGCAGGAGTTTTATTCCTGAACCTCAGAAAAACCACTTAACAAACACAAAATTATAAAAAGAGTATTCTTCGTGGAAAGTTGAAAATTTAGAGAGGAATGGAGCTAGGAAGATTTTTGTGTATGACCACTACTGTTAGCCAGCACATCTTACTCAGTGAGCAGTTTTAAACAATCTGCATTATTCAAGAATTCAAGCTTTGTAAGATCCTCAGAATGAGGAGTCTCCCAGTTTCCATCGGTATCCCCAAGAACTCAATGTCCAGTCCAGTTGCTTCAACATGCAAGAGGCTTTAATGAACACGAAACATTTGTGCAAAGGGGCCCCTCCAGCAGGTAGACTAGTGAGAAGAAGCCATCTCCTCCCTCCACCCCGCCACACGGCACAGGTGTTTTTAAAGGCAAATACCCCAAGCTTAGGGAGGGGGGTGGGACCCTCTGTCCATTGAGTACATGACCCTTTGAGGCTGGTCTCCCTATTAGGGTCAACAGACCTTAGGGCCTCAGGGTGTGCTAATTAATCTTGTCTGGGCAAACCGGAGGTGCAGTTATCTATTTGTTTCTTAAAGACCCCATTCACCACCTGCTGACTCACAAGAAAGGAGGGGCAGTGTAAATTCTTGGAATCTTGTTTTCTCAGGGCCTTGTGAGGGGAAGTTAGCAGATTCCAAGGAACAGATATTGCTAGGGGTTAACTTTCCAGTTTAGTATGTCCTTCATTTAAAGTGGGGCGTTTCTCTAACTTTACTTTTTTGTCTTTCACGCCCTATATCTTATCTCTAGAGAGTAAAGTTCTAGTACTCTGATCTACAAAGCACCCCACCCAGAACCCGCACTTTCCCCACCCTGTGTCCTACTGCGCCCACTGCTCCACTGGTCTGGTTGAGCACTGGGACCGAGAGCGGGTCAAATAAACAAAACACCTCCACCTCCGGAAAATTTCTTGGACCTGCTTTGAAAATACTGGACCCCTGTATCCCGCTGGAGCAACCAGTGTGCCAGCCTGCCTGATGTTTATCCGTCATTACTGAGGCTCTGCCGGGGGAGAGACCTCCTAGAGTGACCGGAACACACAGAGTTACAGACATTGAGCACCTCTCACAACTCTGTCCCCAGGAACTCCTTCTCAAACACACGGTTCCTGGACTGTCCCCTGCACAAGCGGCTGCGATCTCACAAGCGGCTGAGATCTCAGGACTTCCGCCTTCCGGTCACGAACTAAAGCTTCCGGTTCGTGGCTGTCAGTGTCCCCGGAAGACACACATGGAAAACATGCTTCTAGTTCCACCCGGCCAAACTGACACACGATTTCCGCTTGTGAACCAAGGACGTCAGGCTTCCAGTCACTGACTTGAGCTTCACACAAAATGGTCCCCAGGAAAGGTTGCAACAAAGAGATGCACAACTTGAGTTCCACCCGTGAAGTAAACAGGACGGAGTGTGCTGCGGCCTGAGTTCCGCTTCCGGCACATTACTTCCGCTTACGGATGGTGCAACATGCGATTCCCTGCCCACCTGACAGCGATTAAATTGGATCCACTTTCGGCCCAGGACTGGAATTGATCGTATCGGACATTGCGGGCCGGATAGGAAACGCCTTAAGGGACGGGACTAACAGGTCCAAGTGAACAGGTCAGAAACGGCTGATTCCGACCGCAAAAGAGGCAGCACAGAGCATATCCCCTGTCACTCATCGAGGCGGTAGGTGGGACTTCCGGGTGCGGCGAACAGGGCAGAAACAGAGATCGCAACCCTAGGTCCGTGCACCCCTCTGGTTTTCGCTGTTTCCTGTTTATGCCACGGTTGGCAGCAGGGTTCCTGTTGCCGGGGAAACCGGGGTGGGACTTCCGGCAACATGGTAAATCGGGGCGGGACTTCTGCATGGGAGCATTGACCAGGAATTAATGACTTAGAGAGGTTCCCAGGGGATGGGCGGTGTCACGGGAGCCGTGATGTCAGAGGAGTTACAGGCGTGGCCTGTAGGGCACACAGCTGTCAATCAAACACCTGTCATTCAATCATTCATTCACTCATTCATTCAGTCATTCACTCAGCCACTCATTCATTCAATCACTCATTCATTTAGTCATTCATTCATTTATTCAGTCATTAATTCATTTACTCAGTCATTCACTCATTCATTCAGTCATTCATTCAATCATTCATTCATGTAGTCATTCATTCATTGATTCAGTCATTAATTAGTTCATTCAGTCATTCATTCACTCATTCAGTCAAAGGTCAGTCATTCATGAAGTAATTCAGTCATTTCAGTCATTCATTCATTAGCTCATTCATTCATTCATACATTCATTCATTTACTCATCCATTCAGTCATTAACTCAATAATTCATTGTACAATCATTCATTCATTGAATCACTTCCTGTGTGTGCTGGAGGCGGGACTTGCGGTCCCTGAGGCTAAGGCTCTGACATAGACAGGAGCAGGCAGGATTTCCTGTTTCCTTTTACCTACACTGTAGCCCATGACCATCTTGAACCCCGCCGTCTTTTTTGCGCACCCAGGGGCAGGAAATAAGTCCCATCATCTCGGAGGAACCGGAATTGGTTGTCTCAAGCCGGAAGTGGACAATTTCTGGTCCCTCCCAGAACGGAAGTGAACCCCCAGACCGGAAATGTGCGATCCTTTCAACATGGAGCTGGTTCCACTCACCAGGCTTCTGCAGGGGAAGAGGGTGGTGCTGGGGAGCAGCTCCCCCAGGAGGCGGGACATCCTGTCCTCCATGGTGACTTCCAGGGGCAGGGCCTGCTCTGGGATTGTCAGCTGTGACTTCCAGGGGTGGGGCCTGCTGTGACTGACAGGAGGTCGTACCCTCCCACTTCCAGGAGTCCCTGGAGAAGGCGAGATTTCCAGCTACGCCCGAATATGCCCGGGAGACAGCAAAGCTGAAGGCTCTGGAGGTGGCGTCGCGGCTGAGGCTGCACAGGGTGAGGACGGCCCCATCCCTTCTGGTCAGGTGGTAGGCCACACCCCTTCCTTTCGAGGCCCCGCCCACAAGCCTAATCCCCCCCCCCGCCCTCTGCTCTGCAGGACCTGCACCCTCCTGATGTCATTATTGGAGCTGACACCATTGTGGTGAGTGAGGCCCTGCTCCTTCCGGCCCTGCCCATCCTGCCCCTCACTGATCCGGCCCCTTGGCATCTGGCTTCGCCCACTGCAGGCCTTGGATGGCTTCATCCTGGAGAAGCCAAAGGACAAGGATGATGCCTACAGGATGCTGCGCAGGTGGGCGGGGCCTGAAGGGGCGGGGCAGACACACCCACGGCAGAGTGGGCGGGGCCTCTGCATGGAGCTCCAGCCTCTGCCCACCCCAGCCCTGCCCCTTGCCAACCACGCCCTGTCCCGCCTTCCCTGGCCCCGCCCAGGCTGAGTGGCCAGCAGCACAGTGTCATCACCGGTGTGGCCATCTTGAGGCCACTGTGGCAGAGGCAGCTTCAGGAGCTGAGTTCCACATGCCCAGAGGCCCCAGAGGTGGAAGGGGACCCAGAAGCAGAAGTGGAATTGTCACTGTTCCATGAAGAGACCCGTGTGACATTCTCGCGGCTATCGGAGCCACGGCTCTGCGAATACGTGGAGAGCGGGGAGCCTCTGTGAGTGGGTGCGGGGTGGGGTGGGTGGGGCCAGGAAACCTGGAAGTGAGGCCTGAAAAGGAAGAGCTGTCCCCGGCGGGCGTGGGTGTGGCTGAGCATGGCACCTGGTGTGACCTCGTCCTTGCCTTGCACCCAGGGACAAGGCTTGCACCTACGGGCTTCAGGCACGAGGCGGTGCCCTAGCAGAGCGCGTGGAAGGGGATTTCTTCAATGCCGTGGGGTTTCCACTCAACCGCTGCATGCATGAGCTGGCTGCCATCTTCCCGGATGTGGGACCACACGTCCCTGTCAGCCAGCATCCGGCCACACCCCAATAATGAGGATTGTAGATGGAGAATGAGTATGTGAGTATTGCGGTAAATAAGGATCAGGATAAACAAATAGGCCGAATAGATGTTTAATCAGGGAGAAATAACTTACAACCTAGACAGATGAACACCAGGAAATTCAACCCGATCCTCTCCTGTCTGAGTCACGCCAGAAAGAGAGAGCACCTTCCTGGCCCCCTCCGACCTCCTTCCTCAGGTCCTCTCCGCCCATCGCTCCACCCCCCAATGGGCGTAGTCAGTGCTACAGAAGGACTACCTCACTACAATTCCCCTTTTAGTCTAAAGAAAAGGTTTAGGCTTAATACAAAACTATATACAAAACAGTGAATAACAAGTGTGCTCTAAGAAAAGGAAAATCGAGAACAAAATGACCTACATATCTAGTCCTAGGGTGAGGGCATAATGGAGTTTACAATAGAGTTGTCCTAAGCTGGAAAACGAAAGTCTAGTACCTAATATATCTAACTAGGAAGAGAGAATAATAGTTGTGATAGTTTAATCTTCAACCTCATCAAGACCTGAGAAGGAAATTAACAATACTAGAGTAGACAGGAAATGCGGATGGACAACTTCCAAAAGGTGCAGCAAGGACAGAAACAGCAAGCCATCTGAACAGTCACCCTAGGTCTCACAGCGACGTTGGTACACCCAGATTTGGCTAAGGCCAAGAGAACTTGACAGACCACAACAACAGCAGGGAAATAGAATGGCTGTCTTATCCTGACTTGGCAAGGTCAAGCAGTCTTCTATAATTGTCTCCTGCAAGCACATAGGACTGCATGTCCAAATCAGTGGTCAAGATGGGGGCAATTCTATGCCCAACAGGCCATTAGCTGAGGCGAGATTGAACTCCAGCAGGAGCAACAACAGTGTCCAACATATTTTCAGGAAAGTGCACGGTGCTGTCAAGAGCAACAGTGTCTCATGTCAATGGAGTACTAATATTAAAACATTTAAATGCCATGTTCTGCATGTCTATGAAGTGATTGAAGATTAAGCATCTATATCTGACTAATCTCATAGGTACAGGAAATGTGAGTGAAGATAATCTGTAATACTCGGGAACTTAGCTAAAAAGACTCATTAAAACTTTCCTGAGTAAAGCAGGAACAAATACTTAAACAATATAACTATTTACATATACCTACATGTAAATCCCTAAAATAGAGGTAGAGTATAAGTGTCAAGACAAGAGGTAGAACTATAATGGGCAGCAAGATAAATATCCCAAATTGTATCAATATACAAAATGTCTTGAATACAGGAAAAGTATACATACATAGAATATGGTAAAAAATAATGTGCATAAAATATTATAAGTGGAAACATTTAACACAATATAACAAAATATAAACTTAATTTTACATAGCTTACCACATAGGAATACATAACAATGTAAGCTGTAAAATACTATCTCATTCATACTCAAATTCTCAAGGAAATAGGCTAATCTACTTATATCCCATCTAAACCATACCTTTACCCACCATTCCCTATTCCTGTCTAAAAGATAAACCTGAGTGTAAGCATCACCCAATCCCAAATAACTAAAACCAACCCAAAGACGATGACTATTATCCCAAAATTCCAAGGGTAGGGAAAGGGGGCATAGTCATATTAAGATTACTTCCTGCTGAAATGGGATGATGGGGGGTGGAGAGGGGGCCAGGAAGGCGCTCTCTCTTTCTGGCGTGACTCGGACAGGAGAGGATCGGGTTGAATTTCCTGGTGTTCATCTGTTTAGGTTGTAAGTTATTTCTCCCTGATTAAACATCTATTCGGCCTATTTGTTTATCCTGATCCTTATTTACAGCAATATGTGAGTGACTGTCCGGGGCGGGTATTCTGGTGAGAGAGTGACTGAAGGGGCGGGGCTTCTGGTGAGTTTGTGAAGCAGTGACCCATTTCCCATGATGCCCTTGGTGCATTGTGTTTGATTGACAGAGCAAGCTTCCCTCAAGTGCATCACTTCCCAGTGCTAGGACACAGGACATGGGGTGAGGTGTGTGGAGGCAGGGTTAGGGGACAGGCCCACCGAGGGGAGTACACCTAAACCCACCCCTGTGGCCCCGCCCCTCCTGATGTCCCGCCCTCACCATCTCCATGGGCCCTGCCCTTGCCACCACTGGGTCCTGCATGAGCATCTTCACCATCAGATGCCTGTGATGGACATTTGACATCAGGAGCAGGGTCAGAGGAGGCCCCACCACCTGCCTGCACTCTGATTTGCATATTCAAGAGCTGCCTGGAGACTCAGAAGACATCAAGTACAGAAACTGCTGGGGTTAATTTGCATGGCCACACCTCCAAATGACCTAACCTGTATGTATTTGCAGGTCAAAGTCCCAAACAGATGGGAATACTTGCATTCATTTGCATAGCAAAAGCATGCAAAGCAGCACAAATTTGCATATTAAAGTATATTTCCGAAACTGCGGTTTACTCATTTACATACTGAAATGTGAAGCCCCAATCAGACTGCCAGATTTTCAGGCTCTGTGCTTATTTGCATAATCAAAATTACTAGTGCATCCTTTACATAACAGTTTAGTAGCCTCATTTGCATATTTAAATGAGTGGCAGGGTTTTATTGCTCAGCATCAGGCCCCACCTCTTCAGGACTACCTTGGCTCACCTATCCCCTACCCCGAGGTCACAGTGTCCAAGGTCACAATCAGTGACCCTCTCCAGGCCCTGCCCTCAACCACACCAGGCCCTTCCCCACTTTCTCTCCTAGGGTCCCCGAGGGCAGGGCCGGGGTCTGGGTATTACCTATGGTGCAGACAGGACTTGGTCCGGGCAATGACATCACAGGAAATTGTGACCGTGAGCAGGAAGTGCCCTCCTTCCCTACCTTCACCATCTCCACCCTCAGCTGGGCATGGCAGGAATCTCCTACCAAACTCTTAGGTTACCAAGCAGCAATGCTAGGACCCAGAGGGCGGTGGCCATGGTGAGCAGGTTAAAAGAGTAAAAACCCTGAGGATGATGAGTGTGGCCCCTGTGACATCACAGAACTCACCCCTCCAGGCCCTTGTGATGTCAGTCACCGCAGGCCCTGCCCCTCCAGCTGTCAATCACTACAGACCCCACCTCCTGCCTCTGGGCCATGAGGTCTGCTGAGGGTGTGATCTACAGGCTGACTGGGCGGGGCCATGTCAGCTATCTTCATAAAGGTAGAGGGGCAGGCTGCAAGCCGAGGGCGGGACTTCCTGGCAAGGGAAACCTGGCAGTAGAGACTCAGGTCAATCATCAAGGGTGGGGCATGACTACTTCTGCTCCCAGATCGCAGCCAAGGATGACCTGAGCCAAGGCCATCAGGAACTTTTGTAACTGCTGTGGCTGGGACTGCATTTCCCAGCATCCTATGCGGCTGCTTACTGCTTCCCTGCCCAGAGACTTCTGGGTCTGGATGTTCATGTCCAGGACTGCATTTCCTAGCATCCTGTGCGGTCGATTCCTGCCTTTATGCCCAGGGACTTCCGGTTTTCATCTGTACCAGCCAGGGACTGTAGTTCCCAACATGCTCTGCGGTGGCTTTCTGTTTTTCAGCAAAGAAACATCCAGTTTGTAGTTTTTGGAGGCCCAGGACTCCATTTCCCAGCATCCTCTGTGGCCACTTCCTGCTTCCCTGCCCAGGGACTTCTTATTTTCATCTTTGGCAGCCAAGGACTATATTTCCCAGCATGATTTGTGTCCGCGTTTCTATGAATGGACTTCCGGTTAAAAACTTTGGGGTCCAGAACTGCACTTCCCAGCATGCTGTGTGGCTGCTTCTTTCTTTTCTCCCCTTGACATTCTCTTCTGGACTTCAAGGACCCTAACTACAGTTCCCGGCATGTGCTGGGCTTGTTTCGATCTTTTCAGTTCCTAAACTTCTTCTGGTCTCTGACGTTCCAGGACAACATTTCTCATCTTCCTGTGGTGCCGCGTCCTGTTTTTTTCAGTCCTGAAATTCCACCATTTAAAGGCACATAATAATTTAGAAATATTTGAGACTTAGAACAGTTGAATTTAAGTTGTATGAAGTTAGCTTACATTTACATAAAGTTAAGTTGAAATCGAATGTACAGATATATTATTCAGGACTGGGTAAATTGAGAAGGACAAGAGTGTGAAGCTATGTATAACATAGTCAGAGAAAAAAGATATTACAAAGAATAAAAGGCAAACGGTAAATGACTTACAGGTTCTGTTGGTGGCAGAAGCTGGCTAGACTCTTTCTGCCTAGATGGCTGATGTAGCAGAAAGAAGAACCATGGTGGGTAAAGCTAGGCCACATGGTCAAGATGGTGGCTGCCATAAACATATTCCCAACAGCTGAAAGAAATCCTAAAGTTTTGAGATGTAATTTTGTCTTGAGCAGATGCTGCCTCAGCCCAGCCCACCAGGCTGAGACAGGTTGCAGCTGGGGCAGGCAGGAGAATTTGAGCGTGCCGGGAAGAGAACCGAAACAAGTTTAGGGAAAGAGATTGTTTAGCAGAGATATTAAAAAAAAACGCCTTCCATCTATCTGTTCCCTGGCAGTAATTTGAAAGATCCCATAAAATATCGGGATCTAGAGAGCCGTTATGTGGCCAATTTGAATTATTTTCTAGGGCATATCTAGGCTACTTTTCAGTACAAAGGTAAATAAGTCTGGGTGACTTTACAAGGGGCATTAAGTGAAAGGGTT